TACAGCGCTCCAGATATTGTACTTGTTTATTTAACTGGCTTCATTGTTTTGACCGTCTTTCAACCAGCCTGAAATTTTCTAAGCCAGGAACAAGGGAATTATAAGGTTTCCTTGCCAGGTGTCACATGACAATTAAGAAACATCCTTTTTAAACTGGGCTAAAAGAAAAGGATATTATTCAATATTTACCAGGTTTACACAGGAAGAATGTAAGCACTTTGTATATGTACGTACATGTGCACTGTAAATGGATTTATTATTGTTTAAACCATTATATAGCATGTTGCTTGAAACAGATGTGATACTAGTGCATTTTGGGTTTCAGACCAAATTTGCATGTCTCTGTTGTATCTTGTTACCAAAAAAGCAGGCAGTTGTCCTTATCACTCAGCAATTCTGATAACATGAAGCTCACTAAAAAAATAAAGGATTTAATTATTGCATTGCTGGCCCCTGTGTAAAAAGGCAGCCCAAAGGAAGTAGTGAAGACTATAGGCCCAAAATTTCCAGTAAGGTCTGTAGTGCCCAGGTGGTTTACCGATGAATGTGTAGAACAGCTCATATGGAAACTGTGTCTTTCAGTATTTCTGTTACCTCAGTACCTCAACAACATTACCTCAACCTTTAAGCCTAGAGAGTACAGACGAGACTAGTATAAAATTGAGCTAAAGGATATAAAGCAACCTCCTGTGGATATTAACACTTGGTATATGACCCATATGCCGTGTAACAGGTACATTCTGGCTGAATGGTCTGTATTTTTCCTGCCATGATTGGGAATTCAGATCCATTCTGCACAATGCCTGGGAGACTTTCATTCTGCCTGCACTGATTTCAGTGGAAAAAGGGCAATTTGCACCTACAGGACGAGTTTGTGTGCATTCTTACTCAGTGTCACATAGGAAATCTGTGTCCCTACCAGCTTAACACATGTTTCTAAATCCTGGCAGCTCTGTCTCTATCCCTTTCCTCTTTAGTAAGTTGTTGCTAATATCACTTCTAAAGGAACTGAAGAAGGAATTCAGGGAAAAAAAAAAAAAAAAGACAAGATGTCTTATTGAAACAGGGTAAGCTAATGTTGCATCTGCCCAACTAATTTTGATGGTGAGTGTAGGTTGGCATGAATGAAGCAGAAACTGAAGAACTGAACGTGGAGGGGAGAATAAAAGAGACATAAACAAGTAAAAACAAAAGAGCGAGTAGCCACAAAGGAAGAAAATATGAATCCAATCAGTCGCTGGGTGTGGATATGCAAGTGCAAATGTGCATACATTACAAACACACTTTCTCTGGATGACCAAACAATTAATGACAAACCTGCTATAGTTTTGAACTGCTGCACAAAAAATGGTGCACGTACGAGGAGCGGTTTGACAAATCACCACGAATATGAGACTATTAGGTATTCATGTACTTCAGGAGAGGAAAATCTGCCTTTTTCCGTCTGCAGCCACTTCAGGCTGTGACACTTTTGCCTCCCTGTAATGAAAATCGTTATCAGCAAGTGCCACACATCTTTCATCCTTGCACAATTAGAAAGTAGGGAAAAAAATTCCCAGGTGGGTGCCTTAAGTTAGACTCCTGCATCTATATTTAAACACATCAATTTCACAAGCAACTTAAGCTGTCAAGTCCCTGAAAGGAGCAATCTCTCCCTTCCTCCTCCCTACCTGCTCACTGTCACCTTGTCCTTGCCCTCTGCCTTGTGATCGAAAAATCATTAATGAAATCCTGTGCTGAGCAGGGCTGGGAAAGAGCAAAAATGTGTCCCTTTAGCTTGGATCAGTGCCCTGGTCCTTCACTTGAGAAGCAGAGAAGTAGTAGCAGAAAGGCAAGAGCGAGCGGCGGTGGGTTAGGAAAGTACTGGGCAATGCTGATCTGTCACATTCAAAGAAATACGGTCCAATGAGCTGTGAGCAGTTGCAGCTCTTTCTGAAGACAAAGGGAGTTTTAGGTAACTACTGCTGTTCAAAGTGTTCATCTTAGCTCATATTACAGATTTTTTTTTGTTGTTCACAAGTGAGTAAATAAAGACGGTAGTATACATAAAAATAGAGATAGAGGGAATATTCCTGCACCTGCATAAATCATATCAATAAAGGAGGTCTGAGTTAAAGTAATGGAGAACCTAACCCTGATTAAATTGTATCCCAAATCACAATCAACACATCGTAAGGAATGAGTGCCATTAGGTCTCGACATGAGAAACAAGAGCGCTGAATGCTTAACGCCTAGCAAAATAAGTTTATTTTATGAGCAGCCTGTCTATTTCATTACCTTAATTCTCTGGGGTCCCCAGTATCATGCAGTAACAGTAGAAAGCATGGATGGATATCCAAAGCTTTCGGCTTCCTTAACGGTTATTGTCAGGAGTGGGCAAAGTACTGGTTCATGAGAAACTTCTAACACAACTGGTTGACTGCCAGCTTCCAACTATTTCCAGTTTCCTTGTCTGGAGCACAGAAACATTAGAAGACATGTATTCCTCTAATTACTACTACTTATCTATGGTTATATACCATATCATGATTTCTAAAATGGAATTGCATATCTGAGCCATGTTATAGGAATTGGGGGGAAGAATTACAAAGGTATACTTTCAGTTAGTCTGTACATGTTTTTGCAGAAGTGGATAATAAAAGAATTACTGTTTTTCTCTTAAATAGATCTGTATGTTTTACAAATAATTCAGGTCCCCTTCATGTGCTGGGAAAGCAGTTGTGAACAACAAGAGTGAAAATTTTTCCTGATGACATTTGAGATTCTAATTAATACAAGGAAATTATGGCTCATTGAAATAATTTTTACATGTTTTATTTTTGTGTGTATGTGCGTGTCTTTACATCTTCCACAGGCTGGAACAAGAAATACAGAAATTAGAAAGTGAGGAATCCCAAATATCTGCCAAAGAACAAATAATTCTGGAGAAACTAAAGGAGACTGAGAAATCCTTCGACAATTTGCAAAAGGTATTTGAAAAACTCAGGCACAGATTGAAACCTAGCTACCTTCTTAGCACTGTCTGAAAGCAGCAGTTGTAATTCATGCACTTATGGGAAGATTGAGGGCGGTTGCGTAGCACTTAGCTCAAACCAGGATGAATAAGACTAGAAAAGATATAGAGGTGTCAGATCTGTTTTGGTTGAGTTATTCGGATTTCCCCTTCCCACTTCAGCTTTTTTTGCAGAGTAATTTCAAAGACTGTCTACCTAGCTTAACTGCAAGGAAACCATGTGAGCTTACGGCCCCACTGGAAGATATCAGCAGGATCCTGGAAGGCATATCAAACTTCCCTGATCCCAGTGGCACCCAGGTATAGTGGCATTTGCCACAAATACCATTTCCAAACATGACAGCCTGCAACAAACAGTAGTGTTCTCCTTTCAGTTACGCCATGTCCCTCTCCCTCAACCTCTAATGGTACCTAAACCTGAGGAGCCACATCCCCAATTAGCCAGCTAAAAATAACAAAGAACCATAAAAGCAAGCCTAGCATAAAAATCAGAACTTCAAAATATAAAAAAAATTAACCAATCATTTTTTTCTCTTTACAGAGTTTCTCACTCCAGGATGGTGGTAAGTGCCTTTTTATTATTGCATAGCCTTCAGTTTAACAAGAGTTGTTACCATAGCTTTGTTGCACAGGTTTACAGAGTGGAGGTTCTTCTCTTCATTGTGTGTTTCTGATTTATTGCTAGAACCATTACCTCTTTCTTTGGTGTTGCTATAGTGCAAGCACAAATGGCACTATTGGGGTGAAACACTTTTCCTTTGGTAGAGCTCCACCTCTTCTTATGTGCACACAAAACAACAGAACAGCCGGGATGACTTGAAACAGACATCATACAACTTCTGTGTTATTGACCCTCTCACGACATGATAGCCCTGCACTGCAGATTCCTTTTCACCTCACTGTGGTCAATCTCCAATACTCCATTGTACGCGTACATGCTCTGTTGGTAAACAGTTAAATACAGAGGACTATTCATTATCTACAGGAACAGCTATTGAAATTAGATTACTTCACTGATGAATGATACTTACTGCATGATGATTCTTATAGAAGGAAAACCTCACATGGGTGTATGAAGATGTAATAATTCCCAGTTTATGAACTCAGCAGCACACTATGTGTGATCAGGTCAAAAGCTGAGCTATAAATTTAGGTGTCTGAGTGAGAAAATAATGTAGTTGCTTCTCAGAAAGCTAGAGAGCCTTGTAGTGCATCTCCAGGACTCTTAGGACCCAGGAAGGATATTAAGCTGATCCATCTGCAGATAAACCTGTGCTCCAGACTCTCATTCTCAGTACGTGTCTTTGAACTGACAAGATGCAAAACACTGGTGACGACTATTTCCTCCAGCTGCTGACAAAGCCATGCCCAACTGTACTGTGAGTACAGATGAGTAATATGCAGGATGATCCTAAAATTAAAGCACTGGGACACAATGGAAGATTAATATGTAGTAAGTGAGCTGACATGGAGCAGTTTTGGGGAGAGTCTTTCTGAGGGGATTAATATGAGATAGTAAGAAGGTTATCTTTTTAACTCACAGATCTAGTTCACTGCTGTTAGCTCTGTAATTCAAGTTTTACGTTAAATCCAGTTGTCAAAAAAAAAAAAGTCCCAGATAGGATGCTCCATAGTAAGAACTTGCTCTTCCTTCCTCCTCCTGGAGCATTTGAAATTGGCTATGACAAAGTAAATAAAGATTCAGAATGGCAAATATTTTGTATCTATGCAGAATTTCACCATGGTAAGTTTCCAAAAGAGGAATGGAGCCTACAGGAATTAGCACCCAAAGTATGCAGGAGATTTTATGACTCCTGCAAGATGCAGTCTGCCTCTTCATGTACATTTTGATAAAATGAGAACCAAAGGAAGCCCCAGCTAGCAAATAATGAAGCAGTAGTTTCCCTGAACTTATTTTCTTGTAGCAATGTGGTATTTTATTGGGTTCAAGGGGAGCCTCACTGTTCTCCAGATTTTGCCTGCTTTCAGTGGATCCTCACAGACAGAGCTGGAATAAAGGACAGCTCGTGACAGGGTAACAGAAATTGGCAAATCACACCAAAGACAAGAGAGAGACTTCTGAATAATTGTGCAAGCAGAGGGAGCAGGGGATACAGCTAAGTTAACCAGTACCTCTTCTCTTCCAGACCACTTTGCTTTATATATCTTGCCTCATCCTCTTGACAGTCTGTCCCTGTGGGCTGAGGTGGGCCTGGGTCATACTCTAGGTGGTACCGTACTCTGCTCCCCTAGGGATGACCAAGGCTACAAGCTGTCCTGTTAGCCCTCCCGCTGTGGGTACTATGTGACTGAACATCTCCACATGGTGAAAGCCAAACAGGTCCTCTGTTTTCTGCTCTCTGACAACAGTCTGTGAGGGTAGCTCATCAAAGCAGGGAGAAAAAATGTACGTGGACAGCTGCAAGCACTTGGTAACATACATTTTTCCTTCCTTTAAAAACATGTAGGACTTGCTTTGTTGCAGCAGATAAGCCATCTGTCTGGCAGACATCCGTAGCATATGCTGCAGAGGAAAATGGCAGGAGCCATTGGATAACACTGGAAGGCTGTGTAAAACACAGACACAAACCAACACCAACTTATTGGGGCAATTTCTTCAGCCGCTGCCACATCCCAAAAGATTTCAAGTCCATAAACCTCACCTTAGTTTGCTTCTTCATTCTAAACCTGATGATGGTACAGAAACTGTCTTATCTTACCATTGTGTCCCTGTGCATGTTTTTGTGCCATATATGTGGTGGTGACAGAGTTTTGAGTGTGCAGAAAGCACAACTATAGGGAGCTGAGAGTCCAAAGGGTTCCAGGTGAAGGCTGTGAGGGAAGAGGAGAGGAGGTGGTGAGCACTGGTGGCTGATCAAGTAACTATCTGTGTCTTTCCCACCCTTCCCACAAAACGGCTGTACTTGGCAATGAGCATTTCTGAGCTTGAAGTCATCCATGCACAATAAACACAAACCCTACATTTTCCAGGGTAGGAACACACGTTGCCTTCGTAGATTGCCGCGCGAGAGAAAGCAGACCAAAAATGCTGAGGCTGGGGGCTGGGGGCCTGTCACATGCAGTCATGCTTCTGCCAGCTCCTTGGTGGATTGTCACTGAAGAGCTCTCCGTTAAACAAGGGCTGAGATGATGCTAGGATTGACATCGTTTCTTGCTGCTCAGGTCTGCAGTCAAAACTAGGCACACTGTAGTGCTATGCTGCATGCACGTTGTGAATAAATGGAAAGAGCTCTTACTCTGTGTGTGCATATGTTTATGGCTCAATGTATGTATAAAATAAAGCCACATTAAGTTCTTATGCAGCTCCCTTGACTGCTGAATTTGCCTCAGGGCTGAAGTCATCCTCTGCAATATTTAGCCATCTGTATGCAAACTATGTGCTGCTACCTCAGTCAATATACAGAAGCCTCAGTTGCAGTAATTCTACAGTTTGCACAAACCTCCGTTTTCATTTGGTGTGTCTTAGCATATATTTGGCAAAGATGTGGCTCTGGAAACCTGGCCTGGGTTGTTTAGTTCCCAGCACATTGCTTAGAGGAGCTTCTGTTTTCTCTCCCTCTGATCTTCATAAGCTGTGCGGCCGAACAACAAAATAAACACGCAAGTCGTCAGAGAAGTCAAGCACAGATTCTTGGAGAGTGCTTTCCACATGTCCTATAAAAACTCATCAGCGATTGTTCTTCAATTGTAGGGTTTTAAGTAATTTTTTAATTTGATCTGCATCTATAGCTGCCATAATCACAGCACCTCTGGCCACCTGAGTGAAAACTATTGACCACCACCCTTTGAGCACAGCCTGTTAGCCAATTTCCCACCCATCTCAGAGACCACTCATTCAATCTGTATCCTGCCAGCTTGTCCAGAAGGCTGTGGGAATCAGTGTCAATCTTTGCTGAAGTCCAAGTAAACAACATCCACTGCTCTCCCCATGTCAACAGAAGATGTTATTTTGTTGTAGAAGGTGATCATCTTAGTCTGTCATGATTTCCTCTTGGTCAATCCAGCCTGGCTTTTCCCAATCACCTCCTTCATTTGGTTTGGAATAGTTTCTAGGAGGACTCATTCCATCACTTTCCCAGGGAATGGAGTAAGATTGATGGGCCTCTAGTTTGCTGGATCCTCTTTTGGTCCCTCCCTGTAGACAAGTATGACATTTTCCCTTTTCCAGTCACCTGGGACTTCCCCCAATCTCCGTGACTTTCAAATATTATAGATAGTTGCATTGCAACAATGTCAGCCACTGCTCTTAACACACTGGGGTGTTGTGACCAGACCCATGCATTTCAGTGGGATGAGCCTTTGCAAGAGGCCACAGACCAGCCCATCCTTCACTACTGGCAGGACAACGCATGAGTTGTTGTATCTACTTGATCTTGTGATCTGAGGTCCAGCTATGGCAGTGAGGACAGAGACAAAGAAGGTATTGACAACATCTGCCTTACCGGCTTTGTTAGAGACTAGTTTCCCTGCCCTGTTTAGTAATGGCCCTCTGTCTTCCCTGTGCTTCTGCTTACTGCTCACAGATTTGAAGAACTCTTTCTTGTTGTACTTGACATGTTTGGCCAAGTTCAGTTCTAGCTGAGCCTTAGCCTTCTGAACTGCATCTCTGCATGCCCTAGCAAGGTTCTTGCAGTCCTCAATGGCTATTTGGCTGCCTTTCCATACTTTCTAAAGTATGCTTCTTTTTTTGCTTTTAATTACACCTAAATCTCATCGTTAAGCTACAGTGGTCTTCTCTTCAGCCTTCTTCCTTTCCCTTTTCAGAGAGGATGGACCATTCTTGTGCTTTCATCAAGCACTCTTGAGTAACTCCCAGCACTCACAAGCTCCTTTGCCCTCCATGGATGCTTCTCATAGAATCCATTGCATTTGGGCTCAGAGCATGTTGAAGTCGGCTCCTCTAAAATTCAGGGTCTTTGTCCTACTACCGGTCTTCAGTGTGCTCAGTAGGATCTTTATCTCCACAATGTTGTTGTCACTGTATCCAAGGCTACCATTTGTAGTTGTGGTGTTAAGTAAGCCTTCTCTGTTTGTGAGCAATAAATCTAGCAATGTGCTGCTGCTAGTCAGCATGTTCAGCATCTGTCAGGAAGCAGTCCTCAATGCATTCCAGGAACCTGATGTACGGCTTGTGCACCAATTTTTTTCCCCAACAAATGTCTGGGTAATAGAAGCCACCCATGAGGATCAGGTTCTGTTGGCCCAAGACTTCCTTGAGCAGCCAAAGTAAGGTTTTGTCGGCTTCGTCATCCAGACTGGGAGTTCAGTAACAGATACCTAACAGAAGATCCCCCTTGGTGATGATCCCTCTAATCTTGTTCCAAAGGCATTCATTCAGTAGAACTGACACGGTCTCCAGAGCTCTCCTCTATATACTCAACTTTCTCTTTCACATGAAGTGCAACTCCATCTCCTCTTCTTCCCTTCCTCTCCTTCTGAAACTGTAACCATCCACTGTGGTCTTCCCATCATGTGAGTTTTCGCACCAAGTTTCTGTGATTCCTATGACATCTTTCAGATTAGGCACAGATTTCTAGTACCTCCTGCTTCTTGCCCAGATCACATACATTGGTATACCACACTTGAGGTGGCTGAACTTAGGGTTCTTGCCTTTGGAAAGGGTTGGGGAGCATTCATTACTGCTCTGGGAGGTGCACTCATCTACCCTGTTGCTTATGGATATACAGGTGTCAACTGCAACCTCTACCTTCCAAGTTCTTTAGTTTAAAGCATGATTCACAAAGTCAGAGTGAGGCTATTCAGCTTTTAGCAAAGCTTCCTGCTTAAACCTCTGTTCATGGTCTTACAAACATAAGGGAGAGGGTTGTAATCTCTGGTCCCTCTGATACAGCGCTGTGGAGCCCCACAGTGCTTTGCAGGTGGAGCAGCACTTCCCTGCGAGCCAGTGTTTGCAGAAGACCTACCGCTAATTTTAGTGGTAGGCAGACTTTTTAAAGATAAGCCAGCCCGTGGAAAATGAGCTCGCCTGACATTTGGCCACAAGCCTCTGCGTGGGAGCTATTCTGAGCAGTTCTGAAGGTTTAGTTTTGTGTAAGCACCCTTGAAGGATTATCTGCCCCATATGTTTTCCCAAGCACTTGTCTGCCTGAGTATGTAAGAGTGCCATAGTCCTAAATTGCAGTTTGTTGTAAGTAGTACCAAAAGCCACAGTACATCTTTTATGGCATCCTTAGATGTTAATAACTCATCAAAGGTTGTAACTAAGATATTGAATGTGGTCATTTCAAATGCTTTAATTTATGTTCTGTCTTATGTTTCATGGGAGGGAAATGCTAATTTTCTTCCTTCTCATTTGCTCCTTTTAAAATTAATCTCTTCTATCCTTTTTAAAGGTGCTAAATGAAACAGACCTTCTTGCCAGTGAGATAAAGGGAAACAAACAGGTTCATTTTGTCTGGGTGGGGGGACAAGACAGGAACTGGCAGAATTAACCAAGCCCCAACTTATTCTAGTCAAGCATCCGATTTCTGACACATAGCACCAACACTTCAGAAGAAAGTACCAAGAACCCTAACCCCACCACCCCCACCACAATGTTCTCTTCTCAGGACAATAATGAGAGAAGGTCAGGAGCCCTGAGGCTAGTTTTTTAATATTTTATTCTAAGTAACATCCAGAGAAGTTTCTAAACTAAGTTAATATTAAGAACACCTAACACGTACCGAGGTATTGTCTTCTAAAGCAAAAAGCCCCAACTTACTAAGGTCCACAGACACACACAGCATCCAAGTGAGAGTTCCACCATCCAGCTGTACAACTGATCTTGTTTACTGCTAGACATCAGTGATGCTAGCTGCCAGGATGGTCAGCTCAGTTCCCTGTACAGGCCCTGGGGAAAAACAAACACTTGTATTTTGGCTCCTGCAGTGCCCTGGGATGAAAAATGCACCCTAACCATGCCTATTTATTCTCATGGACTGCAAAAGAAGTAAGGATGGTTAATTAAGCACTACAAGTCTGCATTGATTACACCCATGTGTGGACAGATAGGTCTGTCACTCAAGTTGCTGGATGAGAGTGTACTGAAGCTACTGTTCCAGCAGTACACTTTATGGGGTGAATAATTACTAAATTTTTGCCATTTCCAGCACACAAAGTGCCTTGTTATTCTGCCCCAGAAACACAGTCCCTGCTTCTTTCTTCAGAGAAATTTCTTCAATTTTCATTAATGGCTTGCTCATTTGCTGGTGATATTTCTCAGAATAACAACACTAACCATTGTACCAATTTCTCATCAGAGGCAAGAAACCTTGCAAAAGAAAGCAGCTGTTGCTGGCCATTGCTCAGTCAGCTGTTCTAAGCAATTACTTCTCCTAGGCTTTACTGCTAAAAATAAAAAACTTTGAAGAAACAGTAAATATTGAAAACAAAAAAGCCCATTTGCCAAGACTGCCTTTTGTCCACTGAAGTATGAAATAAAATAATATTTCCCTGGCTGAGTTTTTTTTCAAATCACCTGTTACAACTGAACTTACATACTAACTTCCTGGATATCTGGAATGAATTTACACTGTACCTCGGTGCTATCCTCCTCTGATACGGGAAGGATGATGGGGCACCTCCTTGCCTGAGCCACCTGCATTGCTCCATGGAGGGGCAGAGTGTCTTGTTGGGGACTGTTACTACTATCGTCCTTGCACGCAGCAGCACTGGCAGCTACAGCAGACTGTTAAGGCCATAAAACCATTTCATTAGTACCAGGCCCAGTTGTCCTGCCAAAGGAGCAGGCTTTGGAATTAGAGGTGGCACATCATGTCTTTGCTGAGGATGCCACCAGATGTAGGGTTTTGTTCTGGGATGTGTGTTGGCACATATGGAACATGATGAAACAATCCCCCTTCACCACATGCAGTCAAGCAGTCTACAATGGGACACTTCATTTTCTCTCTCTTTTCACCAATGCACATTAATGGTCTGCGCTGGTCTTCCTGTCCCACCTGCTTGTAATAACAAGAGGCTTCAAGGAAGGCAGATTCTGCCTCCTTCCCTGGTCCTGCACATGGACCAGGCCATACCAAGGGCTCAACAAGTGAAATTATAACCAGCAAAGTACCCTAGGAGGAAAAAGCATGCTCTGTTTCACACCAGATAGGATCTTAGATTTGAATATTTAGGTTTCCATACAAAACTGAAAATATTTTCAATTGTTAGGAGATAACGGGATATTTTTTCTCTTTTTTCTTTTTCATTTTGGTTTAGCACCTGCACTGTAAGTCAGTTAATTGCACATCTCTCCTCTGAGCTCTGCTTTTAGTTCAGCCACTGAATCCTAAGCAGAATGATATATGCTATCTTGTCATATTTAACCAGCCAAAAAACTTCTCCCAGTCAATATTTGCAAATTTCTTTACCGTCTTTTCTAAAGAGCATATTCAGCTTATGCTAAACAAACATAAGCTCAAGTAAAACAAGTAAGTCCTTTAAGATAGCTTGCTATTAGTTCAGGGTTTGTTAGTGAATGATGGCACTGCAGAACTGGTGGGCACTTAACACCTACTGAAATTCACAACAGGCACCCTATCAGCATCTATATCTGATTTCATTATTAGCTAAATTTTGTTTTTAAGAACAAAAAGCCAGATGCCAGTTCAATAATATCAGAAACAACCAGTGCAAAAGACCTGGCTTTTTATCCCATTCAGTCAACACTAGCAATTTTAGGCTTTTGAAATTTCTATTTGAAATGTCGTGTATTCTGGGTATCTCGTTAGGTTTCTTCTTTACCTTCCCCCTCTCTCCCTACCATTTTAAAGGTCACAGACTTGATAAATCGAGAACCTCCTGACAAATAATTTTATGTGTTCAACTGACACAAGGTTTGAGTCATCTGGACCCATTCCCTCCTGCCTCAGCTAGTCTATTGAACACCAATCACACGACAGTGACTTTGCACTTTGTTTGCTTTGATCCAATTATCTAGAACAAAGCTCCAGTGACTATTTTCAGGGCTGACAACGCTCTGCTGTCTAAGCAATGAAACCACTGGGGCTCGTAGCACGAATCTAACTGTTTCCTGTTCTCTGACACCAGATGCAGTAAATTACATTTACTCCCAGATCCCTGAACTCCCAACCCTCTATTCACGATCAGCAGACCCTGTTCCTGGGCGGGACGGAGCAAGCAGAGTAGCTGGTAAGTCTCAAGGAACAAAATATTACAATACCAGTCTAGTAGCCATGAACTTCTGTTGTTACATTACCTTAATGGGTCTGGTGTCCAGATATTGTTTAAATGCCAGGAAATGCCACTTGATTTGTATTTTGTAAATAAGTCAAGGCTTTCTGAGCAGCAATAACTACTCTCAAAACAGTGTCGCTGAACTACATACAAGTAGCATAGGAAACGTGTCAAATTTTTTTGCATGGAAACATTCGGTTCTTTCCATCTCTGCTGATACAAACACATGGTATCTAGCCCATAGTTTTGTCTCCTCCCTTGTCCCATGCAGTTCCCATTAGGATGAACGAGACAGACAGGCACTCACAAGACCCCATATATGCTTCAAACTTTTATGTCATTCTATACTTCTTTGTATATCATTATTTCTTCTTGGGGAAAAGGTGGGGAGAATTACGCCGTGTTTTGTGCTTGGAGTCATACAGAGAATTTTGCAACACTTATTTTTCAGATTGATTATGTGTCTTCAATGTAACAAGGTGATTGTTAAAAGCTGTATGCTTTTCTTATTTTCAAGATGCTGCTTTTCTCAACAATGTATTCCCTATCTCAAGACCAAATTGCTGGTGGCTACTTCAGGGGTGTCCCAAGGAGTGGGAATGAAAGGTGGCTTACTTGAAGAATGGGTCAATTATAGCAAAGCAATGGCTGCAGCTAAGACATTGTACACAGCTGCAGGATATATCATTTTGTTCAGAGGTCCTGTTGCAAGCCATTCCAAAATTTTCCCTTCCACCACTGTTTACCCTGATCTGTCTTAAAAGCAAGCTTTTCCCTGTGTGTTTTGTGCCATTTTGGGAACACCAAGAATGCAGTAATTTCTTTCATTCTTTCAGTAACCCAAAAGCCTTGTTCATGTAGTCCTTGGTAAGAATATCATGTGTGTGCAATAGCTTAAAGAAAGGCACCAGCGTATGTACTCAGAGGTAGACTGTAAGCATCCGTCTTAAAACAAGCTCAAAGCCTAATAAGATTTTTTTTAAAAGAACAGCCTCTGAATCCATGTAATAGGCAGAAGCCAGATCCTATCATCTGCACGTTGGGATCTTGTTGTTGTGAAGCACTGCCTTATGTTACACTGTAATTAAAACTTGTGCAGAAAACTTGTGAATACAGGCTGTCATCTTCAAGTACTGCTTTCAGATTCAACTCTATTGTCAGATAGTTTTGTATTGTATTAATAGAGCACATTTTGCAGTAAATAAGCTCTGCTTAAATAAAGACATTTCAGAAATCAACAGTGGTTTGATTTTCAGCTACTTTGACAAGCTGGGCTGCTAGGTTCTGCTGCAGACAATGAACATGACGCACCAGGCAGATAAGCCAGGTTCTGTTACTCACCTCACTTCTCCCATGGCAATGCATTTCACTAGTGAAGAGCTTTCTAAGAAACTCACTTATGTCATCCCTGGGGCAGGTCGTAAACCGCATGTTGTGTCAATATCTTAAAAACACTGGTGTTGAAATGAAGGTAAAAGAAATGAAAATGTTGACAGTGGCAAAAGCTTAAGCAAACTAGCCAAACATAGAATACATAAGGACCACACTTGTTAACTTTGTAGATAAGATCAGCCAGTAGGACAGTCTTAAAAGCAGTGCTAGAAATTGTTGCCCAAAGTCTTCCTACTAAGTAGAATATTGTTACTTATCAGTACTCCATACCATAGATAAAAACATGTATCTTGCAACTCTTCTTACATATGGCCAGGTCCACATAATTTAACTATCAGATTTTTCCCTCTCTGCTTCTGAATTCAGGCACATTATACAAGCCTTCTTTTAATGCACACTACTGAATGAAATTTGTTCATTAAAGCAGGGAGGGTCTGGCAGATGGCACCCTCTTCTGCACTAAAAATACATGCAATAACGTGCCACTCAACCATTTCACAGGCAAGTCAGCAGCCTTTACTGCAAAATCATGCCCCAGACAATAATGTCATTTTTCAAAGGTGAAGAGAAGCACAGGAGCTCCAAGGGAGTTCAGGACCCTGCTTCTCACCAAGAAGGTAGCAGGGGGCCAGTCGATGAGCTGGCAGTGCCTTCTCTGCAGGACTGTGGTGCTCAGGGCAAATCAGAAACTTCTGCCCATCACAGGTGATTTTCTGGATGTGTTGTTTCTCCCTCATATTTCAGCTTTGCTTCAGTTCAGCTGAGTGCCACTGAAAAAGCTGACAGTGCATCAGTTTTAGCATCTGCACCATAGGCCAGCCAACCCCTACTTTTATGTTTTTTACTGTAATGTTTGCAGTTTTTGAACAATACCTGACTGAGCAGCCGTGGCGAGGTCAAGTGATGTTCAGAGCCCACTCACCCAACGCCCTTCGGCCAAGCCAATAAACAAAATTCCTCTTCCTTTTCTCCTCCCACTCAAGAAACTGCACCTAGAAGGGAACAAACTCCAGAAAGTGAGTGGTGGCACCTCCATCTTTTTATTTCATCACCCTTTACAAGCTGGATTAAAGGCTTCGGGGCAGAGTTATTTGCATGAGTCTTGAAGCACACTTGCCCACCAGCTCCTGGGCTGAGACAGTCTCGAACAAGTGATTCATGTCAGCTGCTCTCTGAGCTGCACCATGATGCAGCTTGCCACAGCTCCTCGGACCTACCTACTTGAGGGCTAAACTGCTACTGGCCTTGGGGCAGCAGCATTTTTCCTGATTTCCAGCCCAAATCTCCCATTTCAGTCCATGCCATCTGCCCTTCAGCGTCCTGGTACACACCTCAGAGCAGAGCCCAGCTCTCCACCCTGCAGCCTCCTCCTGGCTGCTGCGCGATGGTCAGGTGTGAAAACTCCAGCACGGGGAGGGGAGGGGGACATCAGAGAACTGTTATCCCTACTTCATTGTGAAAATGGGCATCCTGTGCTCCTGGTCATGACAGCTATTGACACAGCTAGTCCATAAACCTCCCAAAGCAGTGGTAAAACACAGCCCTTAGGGATATACCCCTATCTTGCAGTGGCTGAGGTGAAATCCCTACTTCTGCAGCCCAGTCCAGCCTTCAGCAAAGCTTTGCCCTCAGAAGTAGTGATGCTCCTTCACCCACTGGCACCTCCATCCTTGGGCTCAGTGCAGGTGGTTGCGTGGTATTGCACTTAACCTAACCAGCCCTGTCAGGGCCAACCAAGGTCTCAGCAGATGCAAGATGGCCAGACTCCCATTTGGCTGGGCTGCCTACCAGACTGCACTCCCTGGGGACAGAGGAGACCATTTCCTGGGGCCAAGGACGGACCCACTCTGCAATACATGAATTTTCTGTTTAGAGCTATAGGGGGGGTCATGATGCACATTATGATAAACTTCCTGTTGCGGATGAAACACTTTGCTTTAATGATACATTAAAAAAAATCTACTGTGTGTGAAGAGTAAGGCTGAGGGAATATACTACAGCAAGAGTAATTTTCTGTATTCATGATTTTTTAAATACAAGAATGCCAAGCTACATTGGTTCTTGGGGCAAGGATATTCTGTACTCACTTGAAAATATGTCAGGAAAAAAAAAAGCCAGCACATCAGTTTGTGGTGTCCCCAGCTAAGACAAAGCACAATTACACCGTTGAGGTTCATTGGTGGAAATGGTGACCGTAAGTTTCACAAGCACTTGTCACTGCCTGTGGTAATTTGTAATTAAGTGTCTGTGGATGTCTGTCCAGGAGCCAAAATGTCTTCATCTGCATACAAGGAATGCTTAAACAGATGACCACTTCTGGAAAATCCGTGAGACCTTTGTATGTTTATCTTTGAGAAGCTGTCCAGTAAGATGCCATCGTATCTCATAACGGGTGTTAAAGCAATGTAGACTGCCTGTCTATTCCTACTGTGTGGTCTCTACAATTTTCGTCTTGTTACTGCGTCCTTCTTAACCGCGAGAAAAGCTTCTTTGCTATTCGATAGCAGCATCCCTTACATGATTGTTTTTACCTGTTGTTTCATGACATTTTGAAAATCTGTTCATTACTACTTTTTTCTTCAACTTTGGAAATGGTGCTTAGGGTCTAATTCAAACAAATTAGGGAGCACTTCCTGGCCTTTATGTACATTCTCTTAATGTGCAAGCAGAGATTACTGTTGATGCCTTGGTGAGGGAGCTGAGACACTTGCCCTGCCATGCATCTGTGAGAGAAATTATCCCATTCCTGTGTGATTTTGTTTTCTCATCTGTAGAACAGGGGCAAACAATGTTTCTTCACCTCTCTAATATGTTATGATTGCTACGGATGAAAGAGTTAAGCAGGAAAAAGCATTGATAATAAAACAGTTTGGGTGTTGCAGCAAAAAAATTCATTACCAGCTAAGTGGCAGTTTGATGGTAGAGCAGAAAAAGAGAGTAGAGATGTTCATGGAGACGAGTTTCTTTCTGAATTTTGAGGCAAGGTCAGAATGGAAAGGTTGAGGGCAACCTGCATGCTGTCACCTCCTTTGTCTAAATTACACCTAACCCAAGTGCTCTTGGTGCTCCTATTTGATTAGAGACAGCTCCACATAGCATGAGCTGGAAGACTAGGTCCCATTTTCCACAGGGCAAGTAGCCTCTAGCTGCAAAAAAAGCTGTAACTATCTCTGTCCACAGCATTACATCCCACCTCTAACACAGAACGCTTGGCCCTTGAGAAGCAGGAGGTAGGAGAAGGGGCATGGTAGTTTTCTTTGTCTGTTTGGCAATTAACCATTCACTGGCTTTTTTTGTTGTAACATGCACTTCCTCTCTTGTTTTCATTCAAGCTTTGTGCACCATGGAAATTAATGTGGAGAAAGACAAACAGACAGGAGAGACCAAGATTGTCTCTGCTTCACCTGTTGGCCCAGATGAGGCCCATCAAAGAGGATTCAAAGTCTATGATGCTGGTACCAAGGTAGTCTATGAGGTTCACTCTGGTGGCACAGTGGTAGAAAATGGAGTACATAAATTAAGCTCAAAGGACGTAGATGAACTTATGCAAAAAGCTGGACAATCAAGTGTAAAAGGAGGGTATGAAACAATGACTGTGTCAGACAGAAATACGGTAGCCGATGGAAACCTTAGCCATATGAAGGAGCAAATGCTCTTCAAGGAGGCAAAGCTGGAAATGGTACACAAACCCAGCAAAGGGCATGCTGTGAACCCTCAGTCCCAAGACAAACCCGGCGGTGGCGAAGCCCCGGAGGCAAGCACAGATCAGCCGGTGACAATGATATTTATGGGCTACCAGAACATCGACGACGAAGAGGAGACGAAGAAAGTACTAGGCTACGATGAGACCATCAAGGCAGAGCTGGTCCTGATCGACGAAGATGACGAGAAGTCGTTGCGGGAGAAGACAGTGACAGATGTCTCCACCATGGACGGGAATGCCGCTGAGCTGGTCTCTGGCAGGCCCCTGTCAGACACGACAGAGCCCTCCTCTCCTGAGGGGAAGGAAGAGAGCCTGCCCTTGGAAGCCGCCCCAGGTACACAAAAGAAAAAGCGCTGTCAATGCTGTATTGTCATGTGATCACCTCCTTCCCCGCTCCAGGCAGCGCCTGCTCCATCACTTACCTAGACCTCACTGTACTTCTAACTGCAATACTGTGAACTGGAAGTGAATGCCTCCATTGCCTTGCAGTTGGGTTGCTTTGCTTTCTAGTTCTTCAGGAAGAGGAACGCATGGTTATTTTCCCATCAGACGTACTATTTGGGGAGGAGGTGGGGTGGGTTTTGCTTCTTTTTTTGGTTGTTGGGGGTTTTTTTTCCGTAATATTGCAGAGTGAGAGATAAGTGGGAAATGGAACAAAAGTTTTCATATTTCTTTGATTTTTATATATACAGATCTTATTTTTTATTTCTTGTGGGGAAGGCTGAGATAATTTTACTGTTTTAATTTGCTAAAACTCAGACAAGTCTTTCCCAAAAAGTTCTCATGGTTTTGTTTATGGTAACTTTCCATTTTAGTTTGCGGTGTCAGAAAAACCTATCAGCCGTTTCTGCTTATTGGTGATACCAAATGTGGACATTGATTATTCTTTCTAGAAGATGTATGAATGATGGTTTTGCCTTATATAAATCTTCCAGATTACAGTATTGTATGCGTACTTCATCTCCCCAAATTACAGTTGAAATTAACTTGACATGAAAAAGATGCAGCTGTCACACCAACAGAAATGGAGTCACTGAATTAATTACTTGCCTTTCAGTAACTCTGCCAATGTTTATACACGAAGTTTTCCTGCTGCACTCAAGTCAGTAGATGAGAGATACTATCTATTTCCTTAGAATATAAATGAACTTCTCTCACTGTCTAACCCTGTTCCCACTGGATTCAGTGGTGAAATTCTCAGTGCTGGGAATGGGGGCAAGGCCAGAATTTTATTTTTTAATTCTTAGGGAAGCATAATTTCTCATCAGGTGTACCTCCAGTGCACCTGCATAATGATAGATGATGGGGCTGATCCTGCCCTGCTTACCCAGGTGAAACTCCCGTGCAGGCCCACCGGAGTTTTGGTGGAGCAGTTGTTTTGGGAGAAGATCCTGCAGCCTCAAGGCTAATATTTTCAAAAACTGCTGGTGGTTTTGGATGCGTCACTTTCTGGTGTGGGACACTTAAAAGAGGCCTGATTTCCAGTAAATTTTTCTTCATCTGCTCTCTGAAAATCAGGCCTGTTAAAAACAACTCAAGGTGAAAATGTAAAAAGGCAAAGGCATCCAAAATCAGTAGATGTTTCCTTGTTTCTTGGTCCTTTGATTCTTCTGACTACAATGAAAAAGCAGCCAGCTTTTTCACGGTGAGATATTATGAGCCTGATTCTTGTCTCACACTGGTTTTACTTAAGTGTAGCTTCACTCACTCTAGTGGAGTTAGTCTGGATTTATAACTACACAAGTGAGATTAAAAATCAGGATTTACATTTTCTGATAGTTTTTAAAGGTGTCGAAGATTATTTTGAAGTGTCTTTGAAACTATCAGTCTTTAAAAATCAATAACAGCAACTGAAAAACAAAATAAAAAAATTAAAAAAAAAAAAACAACAAAAAGCCTCTTTTCAGTCTGAGGTGGTTCCTATGATATTTCTGTTCTTTCTTGGATGGTGCTTATACTGCATTAATTGTTAGTTCAGAGCATCCAGTTAAACAGTTCTTGCTCTGTACTCTTTTCTTTCTGTGCCAGTAAAAAAGACATTTGCTCACAGTGGTGGTAATATGAGGCACACTGAAAACATACACACAGAAAAAATGCAAAAGTTAGTTCCAGCATTGGGTCACTGAGCTGTCAGTGTGGAGCTGGTCAATGTAACTTCTCACCACTGCTCAGGTGACAGAAGAAAAAAGCAAGCGGAGTGTAGGAAAAGACAGCCACATCTGTATGACACCTGCAGAAATTTTGCTGGCCGCCGTATCTGCTGCCGTGACCATGTTTAATAGACTTCCACACTCTTCCTCCGCCTCCCCTAGGGGCTTTTCAATGGGAGAAGGACCAAACTCACCCACAGAAGCTCTGCACATCATCTCTTGACTCAGGCTTAGGTGGTTAATTTTTATCAAAGAGCGTAACGGCCACTGAGCCCTGCATTGTGACAGTAGGTCTGGTGGCTGTTGCTTGGAAACTTGCAACCTGTGTCTTGTGGTTTTTTTTGTATGGGTTGTATGGGGTTTTTCTTTTTTCACAGAAATGCTAAGCATTTACAAATCTCAACATTTCTTAAAACCAGACCCTGCGTTTTCAGCCCCAGGGTGGCCTGGCGAGGGTGTCCCCAGACACGTTTAGGACCCCAAAGCACTGCAATGCAAGGGATGAAGCCCTTTCCATCTCAACCTTGCTCCGTGAGCACTGCGGGAGCCAGGCGCGCTTTGCAATAGTTCTCTCAGTCTGGGGTCTGTTCACCTCATCAGTAACACTCAGAAGGAAATCTTCCAGACATCTCCTCCTGGCCTGGCCAGTCGTTTCGTTACTCACCACCCTTCTGTCTGCAGGCGTGATGCCGCCTTCATGGCCACTCTGGCCTCCCGGTGTCTTCCCAGCCCAATCTTTATTCCCTTGCTGCTCCTCTCCCCTGTGAACATGTTTTCCCAAAGCCCTCTGCTTGGCAACTTTGGGGTGTGGTCTTTACCCTAACCCACTCTGTCCATGCATCTCTTCAGCCATGTGTTCCCCTGCCAGATGACCTTCTGGTTCAGCACAGACGCAGCACTTTGGGGATGACTCCCTTAGCGGACAGATTTGGGAGATGTTTGCTGAGCCTGGGACCAGAACGTGTCTGAGACCACTGCACCATCTGAGGCACAACGTGGTGGGGAGATGGTGGCACACAAGAGTCCAGAAGTGGCTCTTTAGTGGTTAGAAGTAGAGCACAAGCCTTAAACCTTAAACCTGCCAAATACCTACTGCTCAGTACTTGTAGCTTACATTGAGTGCCTAGGAAGGCCAGTGTTTTTTATGTGTTCATACGAACTCCATGGTTAATGGGCCCCAAAAGATCCAGAAAAGCTGAAGGCTTGTCTGCATAGGGTTTGTCTTTATGGGTCAAAGGCGGTTCCATGTCTGAGGTCAAGAAAAACACGAAACAGGAGCAAATCGGTCTCAACTTGGAGGGCCTTAGCTATGTTGGCTGAAACACATTTACTCCAATCATCCTCCTCCGCCACGGCAGCAGCCCAGCAGCCACCGTGCCTGGCTATCGGCGTGCCCGTTCTAGCCATTAGCCTGCAGCCAAGTTACGGAGAAATTCAAATGCATTAGCCTAGGCTGATGAATGTAAACTGGTTTTCCAGGGCTGCTTTGGGCTTCGAAGGGGTCGGTTTTCACATCGCCCTCAGACAGGAAGCTGCCTGTGGAAATTCATGCACAATCAGGCGTGAAAGCAGAGGTCCGCTCAACGGTCAAGCAGAGAGAGATTTTTGTAAGGATCATTATGGGAAGGTGTTTTTGTATTGTTTTAAGCATTTTCATGTCTGTTTAACTTCTGCCATCACACATACATTTTCAGTTTCAGCATGAGGGGATACAAAACAGTAGAGTCAGAAACTGGTTACATGATAGCATTTTACCACAACAAACTGCTCGCCTTAACTTTTGTAAGAAAAACAAAAAAAAAACCTCTTTTCAGTGTCTTTTCCTAGACTGGGAAAAAGTAACCTACGAGACTTTTTTATATTTTGTATTTTCTAAGTTTCTATGAACCCACTTTCCATGTTGTCCCGTGTTTGCATTCAGGGACTGTTTCTTTTGCAAACCACTACATATTACTTCCATTCTTTTTTTTTTTTTTTTTTTTTCTAGGCAATCTCTTTCAATTACAAGAATATCAATACAGAAAGAAAAGAATTACAGGGTTGTTTTCTTTATTTAATTTCCCGTGGCTGATGTACTGTATGGTGTATGTTTACAGAACTCCTCTGGTCTGCCTTTGTGATGTTATCTAAATGAATGACAAAGTAGGTATGATGTGCCATTTGACAGTTTGCCTTAGCACTCTTGGTTTTCCTTCTTCTTTTTGTATCTTTCTTTTCCTTATTTTTTCCCAAAAAGTGCAGGCTGTATTCCAAAGCTGTATAAACACAACATTATCTTTCAATCCCCAGCAAGAGAAGTGTGCATAAGCCCTTCTCCATGAAGCGTACCTCTACCAGTGCAATAGAAGACCTCAGCCCTGCAAACAAAAATGCATATGCCTAATTCTGCTGTGTGTAGACCTATTTCAGTCAACAGGACTACTCACAGGAGGAATGTGTGGAGGTGTCTGCAAGATCAGGGTATGAGCGATTATCACAGGGTGTAGTTTGGGTGTTATTTGTGTACCTGTACCAATTTTATGCACTGCTGAGTTTGTCCAAGTTGGTGTGACCTAGAAGCTAATTCTGAGGTTTGCTACTTCTGCTGAGAAAAACACAAAACAAAATGGTGCTTAGCATCTGGTCGGATCAGGTTCTGAGTCAGCATTGCTACCACAGCAGTGGTATTCATGAGCAAATATTAAATGGGACTGCCCTGATACCTAATATATTAGTCCCCTGCCATTCTACCTAAGTTCATTACCAAATAAAATTGTAGAGATACAACAAATTCATCAGAGCAGAAAGACAGCATACAGAGTTGCTACAGAAACAAAAGGTGTTCTTGCCTTTTGATTTAGTCCAACAACCAAATGGTATACTTGGAAAATAAGTGGGGATATAATAGAAAATGTAGTATTTTACATTTGCATATTTTTTTAAGGAATAAATATTTTTGTAATGATATACAAGCCCTAAATGGGGTTTGAGTTTCTGAATATCATTCTACCCATGACATTGAGCCTTTGAACTTTTTCATATGTTTGTGACAATGCCCAGCTTCTTGGGATCTTTTGTAGACCTAACCACAATTTTCTCCAGGAAGCAGGATCACAACACTTTTTAAAGAGTTAAGTTAGAAGAGTAGAATCCAATATACGTGCTATGAACACAGCTAAATAAGTGAATTTATTTCACAGAAAAAGTGGACCCATGCTTTCTATAGCTAGACAAACTTCTTTATCTAGA